AACCAGAATCTGAAAATGAGTATATTAAGGAGTCTCCGTACTCATTCCTTTTATTTTTTCCCCTAAAACTGTGTCTGTGGTTCAGGAAATTAAAACAAGGGAAACAAGTGAAAACTATTAAAAGAATTTGAATATAATGGTCTCACTGGATGACCTGTGTCACCTGTGTTTTTGTCAGTGCTGCAACTGCTGTGGACAGGATTAGACTCTCTCAAGCGCCAGGGATTTAAAACAACTCCCCAGATTGCCTTGGAAACTTCTGAGTTTCTCGTGCTCTTTGTGAAGTTTTCTTGTCCATTCTCTGCTTTTTTTTTTCTTCTGTCCATTCTCCCCTTTGCCCATGAATGTACAGCTGCCATGCCAAGCAGACCATTTCATTATCCTTAATTGTGGTGCATGAGACATTTTTCTGTATCTGCTCCTGAACTCAACATGACGGTAAAGTTCTTAGAATTTTTAGGTAGTCCATATGTATTTTATGAACATGGATATAACATTGTGTGATAATTCCTGAAGTGATTTCCTTGCGGAGAGGTTTAAAGGCAGGCATCAACCTACTATCTAGAGGTGAGAAAACAGTTCAGAAAGATGATTTTCAATGAACTAATAATGAATTCTCACATGGCTGATAATTGCTCCTGAGTGTGCTTTTTAACCAATTTGTTGTCTCTTCCATAACTGTGCTGTGATGTTTTCTTGAAGCACAATGGCTACCTCTGTTAGCAGAAGAAAATTATTATTTCTGTTTACTTTCATCTCAAATTAAATCATAATGGAGATCTTTGGATGTAATGAGCTTGAAAACCTTGTTTCTGTGAAAATGAACCATTTTAACCTGAATAATGGAGACCCTAATCTTGGTAATATGTCTGTATCATAAAAGCAATAATAAAAATTTGAATGTATATTTTAAATGTGGTTTTCTTATATAACGTTGGAACAATAATAAATTCAACCTTGTCTTCTATTCTTCCAAATAAATGACTCCCTATTTGATTCAGGTCTGAATATGAAATCTTGAAACTTTACTTGACCAGATTTCAGTGTTTCTGAAAAATGCCTGGAAATAGTTTTCAGAAAAACCACTTAGAAAGATATGAATCTTTTTCAAAGTGTAGATGTTTGCTCCTCAGTGTCGAAGTCTCAAGCTATAGGCTGAAGTGTTTATTGATTAAAATGTTTAGACAGTTTAAAGTGGAATTCTCATTGAGTGTAATTTGACTGTTCCATGACAGAAATTATTAGATGAATAATGAGAAGATATGTTTATAAAACTGCCATTTAACCCCCCGTCTGCTTCAATAATCTATGCTTCTGCATAAATTATCAAATATTTTTAGAACCTCTTATAAACCAGTTGTGTATTTTTTCCTAACACCTTACATTTATTCTTCCCATTTAACCGTATTGATCTAGAGTTTCAAGAGTGAAAAATACCCTGGGAGGTCATACTCTCTAACTGCTCATGCATTTGTAGTTGCTTGCTACATCATCCCTAACCAGTCATCAGCTTAATGTATTTCCACACTTTGCCACTTCACAAGTTCACCTAGTGCATGTTTTTGGATAGATCAAATGATTGAAACTTGTTTACAAATTCTACCTCACATCTTTATGCATTTATAAATTTGTTTACATAACTATGTGTGCATGTATGTATCTACTTCTAGACATAGAAATAATAGCATGTAGTGCATAACTTCAACCAATCACAATTGATAGCAAGGCATCCCATGATTACTCTTTCTATGTAACACATCTTAGATATTTGCAGACTTTGGACTTCTCTTCCTTTAAACTTCTTTTCTTTAGGTATAACATCCACAACTCTCAATTAGTCATCAAAAATAGACTTTTGTCTTTGTGATCCATTGAGGATTATCTTTTATATATTATAGTTTACTCTAAATATGGACCACCCAGCATATAATGAAATGGAAAATATATTGTTCTATTGCTTTTTCTGCAGTTGTTTGGCCAACCTCATTTTTACGGTTTCCCCTAAATATATTTTTTATGACATCCAGATTCCCACTGCTTCCCAAACAGTGCACCAACTTTGTTTTAAGAACAGAGTGCAGCAGAGTAATTCAGCAAACAAGGAAATAAGTTGTTTATCTGACTCAAGGGCCTCAGGTCTCTAGTTTTTGCCAGAAATGACTATTTGAAATAACCTTTCATGATTGCCCTCTTTTTTCCCCATGTGCTTTGACTGAGGTAAATTTGTTCTGAAGTTTGTCTCAATGCCCCTGCCTAGAGATCTACTGAACATATTTTGAGACCCGAGATAGTCATTCCCTTAGTCTCTCCATGTGGTGATTCATTTCAACTTCTCTGCATGTCTGTTTCCTTCTTCCCTGTGGACCAGCTCTGCTTCCATGTAAACATGGCCACCCATCTGCTCTCAAGTTTATACAGTGTAAGACAGAACCACCCACTAAATCTGAGACTTGTATGTTTTAGTATCAAGTGAAGATTCCTCAGATTTGGATTGTCCTTCCAAGTAACTGTGGCTAAGTTTAAATGTGACTAGTAGAATATTTCTTTTCTTTTCTTTTTCTTTTTTTTTTTTTTTTTTTTACAGGCAGAGTGGACAGTGAGAGAGAGAGAGACAGAGAGAAAGGTCTTCTTTTGCCGTTGGTTCACCCTCCAATGGCCGCCGCGGCCGGCGCACCACACTGATCCGAAGGCAGGAGCCAGGTGCTTATCCTGGTCTCCCATTGGGTGCAGGGCCCAAGCACTTGGGCCATCCTCCACTGCCTTCCTGGGCCATAGCAGAGAGCTGGCCTGGAAGAGGGGCAACCGGGACAGAATCTGGCGCCCCGACCGGGACTAGAACCTGGTGTGCCGGCGCTGCAAGGCGGAGGATTAACCTATTGAGCTGCGGCACCAGCTTTAGAGTATACTTTTATGAGATGCAGACTTGGTAAAGGGGAATTAACCCAGAAGGCTGCTACTTTTTCCTATTTCTTTATTTCCACTTGCTTCCTTTGCAGGGCTTCCCTTCCTGTCTAGCTCACTGTATCTGCTTCTTTCACCAGCCTATTGAGCCGCGGCGCCGGCAGAATATTTCAAACAGAAAAATATCTACTTCAGTGAGGCATGGTTCTTTGGTGTTCCTGTCTGTGGCTACTATTTTGTATCTTCAATTTTTGATTAAATTAAGAATCGTATACTGAGGTCTTGTCATTCATTTGAGATTTTTGAAAGATTAGGTATTATTTGACCTTTGCTGACCTTGAATGTATGATTTAGTTTGATTTCCTGGATGCATTTTCTGCAGTCCACTGGACCTTGGCTTGAGAATCTTTTAAATGGGTTCATTATAAATGTCACACAAGCATGAATAAACTCAGGTTCCTATTAGCCTTTTATTTCTCATACAGATTTATGTAATCAGTTATTTAGAAATTGAAAATATCAGATATTTCAGAGAACTGGCACCTGACATTTTGAAAAACAACAGAATTCAATTTAAAACTAACTCAGAAAAATTATATGCTCAAATAACATCTACCTTCAGAACAAAGGCATTTAATTGTACTTGATATTGGTTATTTGACCTCCCTAAAATAAAGAGGAAGTCTCTCCAGCCCCCATGTGGGAAGCACTCTTTGAGCAAACTAACCCCTCTGTTTGTTTTCTAATTTCCCTTCTATCCCTCGTCCATATGTGCATAGTAAACCTAGGTAGGTGGCCAAGAAGATGATAAATGTATTTTGGATGAGAATAAAAGCTTCTCTGTGAAGATATTGCTGTTAAAATCTTCTGGTATTTTTTTTTTTTCAGCTTAAGGTTTACCTGGTAGTAGGTTTTCAGTTGAGAGATAAATAACTCAGATCATGACTTGGTTTATGAGGACTCTATTTGGCTTTCATCCTCTATCTTCTTTCTTGACTGATTTAGATATTCCATTAATCAGACACTTGGACTTTTTTTTTTTTTTTGACAGGCAGAGTGGACAGTGAGAGAGAGAGACAGAGAGAAAGGTCTTCCTTTTGCCGTTGGTTCACCCTCCAATGGCCGCCGCGGCCGGCGCGCTGTGGCTGGCGCACCGCGCTGATCCGATGGCAGGAGCCAGGAGCCAGGTGCTTTCCCTGGTCTCCCACGGGGTGCAGGGCCCAAGCACCTGGGCCATCCTCCACTGCACTCCCTGGCCACAGCAGAGGGCTGGCCTGGAAGAGGGGCAACCGGACACTTGGACTTTTAACTTTCTATTTTCCTCCTGTTTAAATCAGCCTCCCCCTTAATATATCAGCTGATTTCTGATAGGTTCTTCCTATACACTTTTGTTTTGAGAAAGAGAAGCTCTATTTTGTTAGTTATTTCAACTTTTGAATAAGGGGGAGAGAGAGAGACCCAGACATAATATAATGCAGGTACCCTGCCAGGATCTTTTCTCAATGTAGTTGCACACATAGTGTTCATGGACCACACTAGCCACATTTCACCCACTGGTACCAGACTGTTGCCTGGTGTCTCACTCCTGTTTCCTGTTACTCCAGCACAAAACAGAGAAAAGCAGTGCTTTGTGTGAACTAGAGACTTCACCAGTCCACACTGAATTAATTCGAAGAGGCCTTGTGCTTGAGACCTTGACTCTTTCACGCTGGTGGCTGACCTTGCTTCCTCTTGATTTCAGATACCTCCATAATTTGTGGCTTCTGAATGTTGGCCTTGACCTTGCTTAAATTCTACATTCCCCTGATGACCTCGCTACTGGCCTCCTGAACGTGTGCCTGTCCACCACCCCCCTCACCTCCCCATTGATTTAGTATGACATTCTCAGAAAAGAAATTGAATTAGCACCATCTAGAAAAGAAACAGATCATTGTTTTCCTTTGCGCTTTTAATAGAAGGCTGTTCTTGAAAATAATAGATTTTTGATTTAACTAAAGATCTTGAATATTTGGGTGTAAGACTGCTAAGAAATAGAAAATAAAAGGCTGAAAAGTTTTTAAAGTATAATAAAGTAGACAACAAATTGTGTTGGGAGTTACCTTAGAAACAGAAAATTCCCTGGAAACTGGTATCAAGTTGTCTTGCTCTGTGACTGAGATGTTTTAGGCTGGTTCATTTGTTCTGTCATCTCTTAACCAGTCTTCTGGTTTCGGTTTATACCCTTGGAATCTGTACACCTTATTGTCTGCTCTCAGTTGAAGGGTGCATAACTGAAAAGTTAACATGTAGATAAAGGACGATTTTTCAAGAAACAATGGAGATAGATGTTTAATATATAAGCAGTCTTATAACAAAAGTAAGTTTAAGACGTTTTAAAATATCCCAGGTTGATGATCGGTGAAAACTGACTGAACACCAAAAAGGAAACCTGTTGAAGTGAAATCGACACTATGAGAAACGGTGACTTGATCAGCTCTTGTCCTGACTGTTAATGAACAACTTAATACATTATCCCTCTTAGTAGTTTTTTTTTGTCTGTTCTACTTAATATGACTGGTTTAATTCTGTAATTAATACACAGTTATTCTTAAGTGTTGAAATTTAACTGTAATGTGATCCCTGTTAAACATAAGAGTGGGAATAAGAGAGGGAAGAGATGTACAATTTGGGACATGCTCAAGCTGACTTGCCCCAAATGGTAGAGTTAGAAACATACCAGGGGACTCCAATTTAATCCCATCAAGGTGGCATGTACCAATGCCATCTCACCAGTCCAAGTGATCAATTTCAGTTCACAATTGATCATAATGAAAGGACTAAGAGTCAAAGGGAGCTCATAAACAAGTGTAATACCTGCTAATACTAACCGATAGAATAAATAAAGGGGAGAGTGATCCAACATGGGAAGTGAGATACTCAGCAGACTCATAGAATGACGGATGTCCTAAACAGCACTCTGGCCTCAGAATCAGCCCTAAAGGCATTCGGATCTGGCTGAAAAGCCCGTGAGAGTATTTCAGGCATGGAAAGCCAAGACACTCTGGCAAAAAAAAAAAAAAAACAAAAAAAAAAAACAAAAAAAACACAAACAAACAAACACCTAAATGAAAGATCTCTGTGAGTGAGATCCCAGTGGAAAGAACAGGGCTCCATCAAAGAAGGAGGTACCTTTCTCTGAAGGGAGGAGAGAACCTCCACTTTGATTATGACCTTGTCTAAACAAGATAAGAGTCGGAGAATGCAAGGGGCTTCCATAGCCTTGGAAACTCATGACTGGTGCATAGGGAGATTACTGATGCCATAAACAGGAGTTTCAATTTGTAAAGTCAACAACAGGAGTCACTGTGCACTTACTCCTCATGTAGGATCTCTGTCCTTAATGTGCTGTACATTGAGGCTTAATGCTATAACGAGTACTCAAACAGTATATTTCACTTTGTGTTTCTATGGGGGTGCAAACTATTGAAATCATTACTTAATGTATACTAAACTGATCTTCTGTTAAAAAAAAAAAAGAAGAAATTAGCAATTCCCAACTTGACTCTCACTGGGGTTAAACATGACAATAGGTCTGATCTGATTTCATCATCATTTAAAAAATCATCTATTATTTTTCACTTTATGTTTCTGTGTGGGAGCAAACTGTTGAAATCTTTACTTAATGTATGCTAAACTGATCTTCTGTATATAAAGAGAATCGAAAATGAATCCTCATGTGAATGGAAGGGGAGAGGGAATGGGAAAGGGGAGGATTGCGGGTGGGAGGGACGTTATGGGGGGGAAGCCATTGTAATCCGTAAGCCGTACTTTGGAAATTTATATTCATTAAATAAAAGTTAAAAAAAAATCCCAGGTTGAGCAAACAGTTGAAATCTTTACTTAATGTATACTAAGCTGATCTTCTGTATATTAAGATAATCGAAAATGAATCTTGATGTGAATGGAAGGGGAGAGGGAGTGGGAAAGGGGAGGGTTGCGGGTGGGAGGGACGGTATTGGGGGGAAGCCATTGTAATCCATAAGTCATACTTTGGAAATTTATATTCATTAAATAAAAGTTAAAAAAAATATCCCAGGTTGATTCCTTGTGCCAGTCAAACTGACTGGTTGTGAAACATGCCAAATAACATTATCACTGATTTATCACATTCTTGATATAAATAGCCAGGCAGTGAGATACAGAACTGAGGCACTTCAGGCACATATTTTAAAAATAGACTTGAAGCATATTAAGCCAGAATTAACCTAAAAATACTACTGTTCTCATTTGGTAATAAGTGAAGTCACAACTCCGTATTCTGTTAACTGACTCCTGTAGAATCGGATTAGTTTTTGACTTACTGCTCATATAGAGAGAGCTAGCTCCAGCATTATCTCTAGCATTGCCTCTTCACAGGCTCTCTGCTTTGGAATCTTGAGAACCTGAGCCCCAGGGCATCCTACATGCTTTCATGGCTCTCTACATCCTTGTACATGAGTTTCTTTCTGCCTTAAAATCTTTCCCCTGTGTTTGTACCAATAAGATTGACTAATTTCTTATCATTCTCCTGGTGCCAATTCTAAGCTTTCTCTTGTATCTTTTTAGGCAGCAACTAAGAGATTTCTCCCTTGGAGAGTTATCCTTGATCCCCCTGGACTGAGTTAGATATCCCTTCATTGTTCTTCCGCAGCACCTGTGTCTCAGCATTGACGACTTTGCTCTTTGGGGAGCTGCTTGCCTGTTTTCCACACTAGACTGTTAGTTCCTGGAGGGCAACAGCTCTTTTGCTTCAGTGACCCAGAGGCACAGGCAAGTTTTCTTTTTACATCTTGAAGAGCGTGTTTGAGGGAAGTGTCTGCCCTTCAGCTACTTTCTACTCATGTCTAGTATGCTTTTGAAAATTAATTAATTAAATTTACTTGAGAAATAGAGACAGAAAAACAGAGAGAGAGAGAGAGCGCTCCAATCACTGGTTAACTCTCCCTATGCCTTCAATTGCTGGGGCTGGGCCCAGATGAAAGTGGGTGGCTGGAACTCAATCCACATCTTCCACATGGGTGTCAGGAACCCAATTATATGAGCCGTCACCTGCTGTCTACCTCAAGGTGGGCATTAGCGAGAATCTGGAATTGGAAACAGAGCCAGGACTCTAACCCAGGTACTGTGATATGGGATGAGAAATCCTAACCAGCATCTTAACTGCTGCACCCAATATCTGTCCCTCATGTTTTGCTGTCACTTTGTTTTCTTTAAGGCGGGGTTTCTGAACCCTGGCAGTGTTGATGTTTGTGGTCAGATAATTATTTGTTTTGGGGGGGTCTGTCCTATGCATTGCAGGATTTCAGTAGCATCCTTTGTCTCAACCCATTTAATGCCAGCAGTCCTTCACCCAGCTGCTAAATGCTCCCTGGGAGTGGGAGTGCCCCATGTTGACAGTCACTACCCTAAGGTTTTTTTTTTTATTGTTACCTTTGCAAATGTCTTATTTCTTCAAATTATTGAAAAAATACGGTTTAATGTTCTATGAAAAATCAAATGCTTATCCTTTTCCTGCCACACCACCCCCAGTTTTACTTACACAGAATCTGACATATAACAGGTGTTCAAAAAAACATTTACTGGAAGTATTGATGAATGCTGGAGAAAATATGGCTTTCAGTCATGGAGTTGCCTTTTTTGTTTATTTGTTTTTCTTTCTGCTTTGACCAGATCAATGTGAAAATTGCTCTTAGGATAAATCCCCAATCCTGTACATGCCCAAAAGGCCTCACATGATCCCAGCTCTCCGTGGCTGACTGATCTTAGCTTGGATGATTTTTCTTTCTATCTTGAAGGATTCTGTCCACTTCTTTTGTCAATTCTGAGCCTTATCTTCTCTATCTAGTATGTGATTCACACACACACACACACACACACCCCGCCTGTTTATGTGAATTAACATGCCTTAGGTTAAAAGTTATAGAAACTCATATTAGAAGCTTTGGAAATGGGAGGTTTTATTGGAAGCAAAAAACTATACGAAGGGCAGAAGTGATTCAAAGCTTGGGGTGGGCTGTGACAAGAACTTAAATAGTATCCTGGATTCTCTTTCTGTCTCTACCTCTCACCTCCATGTCTCTCTGATGGAAACTCCATTTTCTCCTGCATTTGCCTTCTGCAAGCCACAGCCAACTCCAACATCATGTAATCCACTGGGTAATTGCTTCCTAGTCTTCAGTGTTTATCTCTAATATAATTTTCCCAAAGAACCCTAATTCCAAGCTCTTGTAGCACTTTGCATTTCTCCATAATACTCACTACAAATATACTTGCTTTTTTGTTGGTATAATTTGGCTGCTGTCTCTCCCTGACTAGCGTGTGTGTGATTTAGGAATGCAGCGACCATCTCTATATTGTTCTGCATTACTGTCCACAATTAGCACCAAATTTTACTAATATTAGACATCTGATTATAATTATTACAGTAGGCATGCATTGCAGGATTAGTCCACAAAATTTCAAACAATTAGTTCAGACATATAATTGACACATTTGAGAGAAAATTCAGTTTTTAGTTTTATTCAAAGAAGTATTAGCAGATATCATATAATACAGATGCTGTGTACACCATGAACATGCCTCTCAAATATTGTTGCTAAGATACTTATAAGTATTTGCAGTTTATTTAACTGTTCCGTAGCAACCCATAGGTTAAGAGTTATTATGTGAATAAAGAGCAATATTCATTTTTTCCTTGTAAAGATATGTTTTTGAGATGAAATCACATATAGAAATAAATGATTTCCACCAACAAAAGCACATAATATAATCTTTTATTTTTATAAACTCACAGAAGCAGCAATAAAAGGAAAATAAAATGACTTTGAGAAAGATTTTATCTCAATCAATAGATTGCAGTTCCTATCAGTTTTGTTGGTTTTATCGTTCATAAGTTTATATGTAAAAGGTATGAAGTGATGCATTTGATTATGTAAAAATAAATATTTTAGTTAAAAATGTCACATATAAAAATAAATGGAAGAAACATACTTTAAAAATATTTATGACAGGTAGTGAGACAAAAGCCTAAATGCAATGAAAATCTTTTATATATCCATAAGGAAAAAGCTCAAAACACTTTTAAAGATAGCAAGCAATTCACAAGTGACAGAATTTAAATTTTCAATAAACACGTCAACCCATAAAATTGATTCCATTTCACTATTATTTTGCAAAAGGTATAGTAATGGTGTATATACATATACCAAATTGATTAAGATTCTGCTTACAAAGTGCTAGCTAATTTATGTTC